GCAGTATTTTCCGAGTATTTTCTTGGTTGCTGCCAAAGAGGGGAAACGTTTGCTTCTCTCCTCAATAGCTGCCCTAAAGAGGCAGGATCTCTGGTCTCCCCTGGTGTTTCCGGTCAGCTTCCCGAGTCCCCGGCGCTGGACTCTCCCCCTGCTCACCTCCCCCTGCTCTGCTTCTTCCCCAGCTCTCTGCCAAGGAGGCGAAACTGCGGGACCTGGAGGATGCTCTCGCCAGAGAAAGGGAAACCAGCCGCCGCATCCTGTCCGAAAAGGAGCGGGAGATGGCCGAGATGCGGGCCCGCATGCAGCAGCAGCTGGACGAGTACCAGGAGCTGCTGGACATCAAGCTGGCCCTGGACATGGAGATCAACGCCTACCGCAAGCTCCTCGAGGGGGAGGAGGAGAGGTCAGTGCCCGGGCGGGCCGGGACCGGAGCGGTCACCCGTCTCCCCCTCTCTCTCGGGACGGGGGGGGGCCCAGGCCCTGGGGGGATCCGCCTGTGCTCACCGGGCCCTCTCTGGTTCCTTCATCCAGGCTGCGCCTCTCCCCGAGCCCCTCTTCCCAGAAGTCCGGCACCAGGACCCGGATCTCCCACTCGTCCGCACAAAGCGCCTCCAAGAAGAGGAAGCTGGAGGACGGAGAGAGCCGCACCAGCTTCTCACACCACGCCCGGACCAGCGGCCGCGTGGCTGTGGAGGAAGTGGACCTTGAAGGGAAGTTTGTCCGCCTCAGGAACAAGTCCAACGAGGTAGGGTTTGCACGCGTGCAGAGGGATGGCTTCGTTTCTGATGCCTGTCGGGAATGGATTAGGGTGACCCACCAGTTCAGGAGCCTGAGGCCTCTTAGGGCACCGCTTGGTAGCCTGAAGCCAGGCTTTTTAAGCTTTTGAGGGTGCATCAAAGAGTGGGCCTGGCGGGAGATGGTCCATGGGGTCGCGAAGAGTCGGACTCGACTGTGCGACTGAACAACAACAACAAAGAGTGTTCCATCTGGTTAAGTGAATATTTAGAGCCACAGACTGTGGTTCTCAGTATTTTCCCTTTAATGTTGGGATTGGTTCTGTTGAATTGCGGCAAAAAGAGGGAAGGGAAGAGAGCTTGTGGCTGCATTATTCCTTCGGGGGGGCTGGGGGGAGGCTGGGCCCAACTCCGGTTTTAACTACAGTCCCAGTTGTGACCTGGTTTGGAGTCTGGTGGGGCCATTAGCAATACTTAAACTTTGGGCGTTTTCATTTGTAGACCACCAGTTGTAGACGTTTCTGTTCTGTCCTTCCCTTCCAGGTTTTGTTGGTGTTTTAAATTTGAGAGATTTTTAAAAATCGTGTGTTTGTTTGAGATATCTGTATCCTGCAGTTTTGACCGAAACAGCAATCATAACACTTCACTAGACTCCACAAATGTCCAGGCAAAAATAAAAGTTAACCGACCCGCAAAGCGTGCTCAGACGGAACAGTCTTTCCTCTTCCTGCATGTTATGAACTAGGAGGCCCCACGGG